AAGGTACGGGATCCTCTAGTCAGCTAGAGGGTCGAGCTCTACCACTGAACCTTCGTCAAGCTCCATGACTTTGGGTTTGGAGGGGGTGGGCGGTTGGTTAGTCCCTGAGCCTAGGGCAAGCAGCTTGTCCTCAATCTAGCCATGTTCCTCGTAGCAGACCAAAGGCGTGTGTTGATCGCTAGCGAAGACGCTCGTCAGCACCGGCTCTCGGCTAGACACCATCTTTGCTAGTGCGTTGTCCGCCTCGTTGAACCACCTCAGGATATGATTGAGTTCAAGGCCATCAAACTTGTCCTCCAGCTAGTGGACTTCTCAACAGTAAGCAGTCATCTTGGTGACGTGGCAGCTTGACACCTTCATGATCTGACCGATGACCAGTTATGAGTCGCCTTGGACGTCAAGCCGTCGGATGCCCAGCTCAATGGCGATGCGTAGGCTATTGATGAGCGCCTCGTATTCGGCCACATTGTTGGAGTCGGGGAAATAGAGGCGGACCGCGTACTTCATGCTTGTCACGAGGGGCAAAACGAAGATCAGCCCTGCACCGGCCCCTCTCTTCATCAGCGACCCGTCGAAGTACATCATCCAGTACTCTTGGTCGATGGCTGCTGGCGACATCTGGAGCTCGGTCCATTCCACAATGAAATCAGCAAGTGCTTGGGACTTGATGGTCGTCCGAGGGGCATGCGAAATGCCCTGACCCATCAGCTCGAGTGCCCACTTGGCGATTCTCCCTATGGCATCCCGATTTTCGATGACCTCACCAAGAGGGAAGGACGTCACGACCGTCACCGAGTGTGACTCAAAGTAGTGACGTAGCTTCCTCTTGGCGATCAGGACGGCGAACAAGAGCTTCTAGATTTGTGGGTAGCGAGTTTTGGAGTCGGACAAGACCTCGCTAACGAAGTATACGGGGCATTGCACTTTGAGGGCGTCTCCCTCCTCCTCCCACTCTACCACCAGGGCGGCACTGACCACTTGTGTGGTGACCGCAATGTAGAGTAGGAGCGGTTCTCCATCGATCAGGGGGCCCAGGATTGGGGCTTTCATCAGGATTTCCTTAACTTTGTCGAGTGCCTCCTGAACCTCAGGAGTCCACGCAAACCGATCGGTCTTCTTTAGAAGTCGGTACAATGGGTGGCCTCATTCGCTGAGGCGTGAGATGAAACGACTAAGTGCGGCGAGGCACCCTATGACTTGTTGCACTCCCTTTAGATTCTAGATCGAACCCATCCTCATGATGGCCGAGATCTTCTTTGGGTTGGCTTCGATGCCGCGCTTGGAGACGATGAACCCAAGCAGCATGCCCCTCGGAACCCCGAAAACACATTTTTAGGGTTGAGTTTGATGTCGGTTGTTCGTAGTTTTGTGAAGGTCTGCTCTAGGTCATCTATGAGCTGGTCGGTCCATTTGTACTTGACCACGATGTCATCTACGTAGGCCTCAATGGTTCACCCGATGAGGTCTCCGAAACACTTGAGCATACATCGCTGGTATGTAGCTCCCGTGTTTTTAGACCAAAAGGCATTGTGACATAGCAGAACGACCCGAACGGGGAGATAAAAGAAGTCGTGAGCTGGTCGGACTCTTTCATGGTGATCTGATGGTACCCGGAGTACGCATCAAGGAAGTAGAGGGTTTCGCACCCCGAGGTCGAGTCGACTACTTGAACTATACATGGCAAAGGAAACATATCCTTTGGACACGCCTTATTGAGACTTGTGTAGTCAACACACATTCTTCATTTCCCATTCTTTTTTCATACAAGGACGGGATTGGCTAACCACTCGGGATGATACACTTTCTTGATGAATCTAGCTGCCAAAATTTTTGTGATCTCTTCGTCGATGGCCCTGTGCTTCTCCTCATCGAAGCGGCGCAGGCGCTGCTTTAGCGGCTTGGAACCCGGCTTGATCTTCAAGGCGTGCTCGATGACTTCCCTCAGGATGTCCGGCATGTCCGAGGGTTTCCACGTGAAGATATCTCTATTGGCGTGGAGAAAGTCAACGAGCGCGCTTTCCTATTTGGAGGAAAGCGTGGTGCCGATACGCACCACTTTGCCCTTGGAGCTACTGGGGTCTATGAGGACCTCCTTGACGCCCTCCGCATGCTCAAAGGATCCGGCCGACCGCTTGGAGTCGGGTGCCTCCTCGGTAGTCCCTTCCTTGATGACCGCGAGCTCCTCGGAGGTGCTAATTGCCGAGGCATGCTCGTAGCACTCAACCTCGCACTCGTAAGAGCGTTGGAAGGTGGTGCCAACGGTGATGACCCCATGTGGGCCTGGCATCTTGAGGTTTAGGTAGGTGTAGTTGGGGACGGCCATGAACTTCGCATAGCATGGTCGCCCCAGGATGGCGTGGTAGGTCCTATGGAATCCGACCACCTCGAAGGTGAGGGTCTCCGTCCTGCAGTTGGTCGGATCCCCGAAGGTGACAGGCAGGTCGATCTGCCTGAGCGGTATGGCTTGCTTCCCCAGCACGATACCGTGGAAAGGCGCCCCGATCGGTCAGATGCGCAACCGGTCGATGCCCATGGCATCAAGTGTCTCAGCGTACATGATGTTGAGGCCGCTGCCTCCATCCATCAGCACCTTGGTGAGGCGCTTCGTAACGACTATCGGGTCGATCACGAGCGGATACCTCCCTGGCTGTGGGATGCTATTCGGGTGGTCGGATCGGTCGAAGGTGATGGTGGACTCCGACCACCGGAGGAAAGACGACATGGCCAATTTGGTCGCGAAGACCTCACGACGTGTGATCTTTTGGCGGCGCTTAGAGTCATAGGCCGCCTTCCCACCGAAGATCATGTGGCAGCCGTCTAGGGTCAGAAAGCCACCATCCTTCCCCTTGGCGTCACCTGACGCCAGCTCAGGCTTCTATCTCTGGTTCCCCTTGTCGGAGCCACCAGACAGGAACCGCTTCATGAGGGCACAGTCCTTGTACAGATGCTTGACAGGGAAGGCGTGGTTCGGGCACGGCCCCTCGAGCAGCTTGTCTAAGTGGTCGAGAGCATTCTCAGTGGGTGCCCGGCCACCTTTTCGCTCGGTAGCAGCCACGAGCGAGCCCTCGTGCTGCTGTTTGTTCTTCTTCTTGTTCAGACGGTTAGAGGGGCCCTCGTCAGTGTCCTCGTCCCGCCTCGCTTTGCCTTTGGAGCGATCAAAAATCGCTCCGACCGCCTCGTCTCCTAAGGCATGGCTAGTCATAATGTTGAGGAGCTCCTTGGTGGTCTGAGGGCCCTTACATCTTAGCTTGTGGACCAGGGACTCGCAGGTGGTCCCAGAAAGGAAGGCTCCGATGACGTCGGCGTCGGCGACATCAGGCAACTCATTGCATTTCCTAGAGAAGCGTCGGATGTACTCGCGGAGAGTCTCTCCGGACTTCTGTCAGCAATTTTTCAGATCCCAGGGGTTCCCAGGGCGTGTGTAGGTGCCCTGGAAGTTTCCCACAAAGATCTCCTTTAAGTCCGCCCAACTTTGAATTCGGTTGGGCGAAAGGTGCTCTAGCCATGTTCGTGCCAAATCAGCCACAGACAAGGGGAGGTTGCGGATAATGAAGTTATCACTATCCGTGCCACCGGCTTGACAAGCAAGCCGGTAGTCCTCGAGCCACAAGCCGAGGTTTGTCTCCCTGGAGTACTTCGGGGCGTTGGTCGGTGGTCGATACCGATGCGGAAAAGCCACGTTGAGGATGTGCCGGCGTTGGTGATGTTGGCGGTGCGCAATAGGTCCTGCACGGTGGCAACAGAGCGGATGAGCCCCACGACCTCTGCCTCGATGAGCTCATCGCGGGGCTTGGTGTTGCCTTTAATGATAACGTCATGGACGCGGATGCCAACGGGGGCTTTCGACAAACGCCGAAACACCGCCTCCACCTTCTCTCTCGCCGCTGCTTCCGCCGCCTCCCCGTCTAGCTCCTCTTCATCCTTGTACTCCATGTCCGCATTGGGTTCCCCATGGTCAGGGTACGCGGGTGCCTCGATGGATTCGCCCGCGGCCTCGTTGGGTACAGGGTTTGGGTCTTGATCGGCGACAGAATCCGCCACGATCGCTATGGCTGGCTGGGGTTTGAGGGGAATAGTATGATTGTGCAAAGGGAATCGTTCCTCGGTAGTGGGATGGAATGTGGGTTTTAGGGTTTTTTTTCTTGTTGCTCTATACTACTAGAAGGCCCATTTGCATTTGCATATGGGCCTCATCTATCGGATAACCATTCGGCCCAGCATGGCCCAAAGTTCAGACATAGGCCTGTGATACGCACAGAATCAAGGATCAACGATGGAAATGAAACTTCCCCGTTATTCATCTCAATCCACATGGGTTAAAGTGGATTGGAGTGGAATTGAACTAAATTCAATTTCAATCCACTCCAATACATGTGGATTGAGGTGGATACACATGCATCCAAACAAGGCCTTAGCAACTAAACTCTCTTGCCTCTAGCATGAACTTTGAATCTTTTCGTCCATTTTTTGGTTGAAATAGAGGATTCCGCTAAAATTTGGAAGAATTCAAAGTTGCAACAAAAATTTAGGAGAAGGTTAAACATGACAGTCGTTGGAAGTTCAAATAACATCAAGAGAGAAAAAAAATAGTTTCAACAATTGTTCACACGGGAAGGACTAGCGGCGGACTGCACCACAGTCCAAGAGGGCGCCGTGGGATCCAATTGGCACGATCGTCTCCTTCCTTTCGGTCGGCAGCCTCCGCCATTAAGAAGCTCTTGAGCACACTCACGGGGGAAGTGAGCAAAGGAGCTCTGACACGCCACCATCCACGACGCTACACCCCAACCGCCCCTCTAATCTTCTACTTTTCGCAGAAAACAATTGCGTCGGCAGCATCGGCTCAACGGCTTTGGCTACAGTGTCTTCATGTGCACTCTTAAACATCCCCCGCCGCCACCTAGTATATGCCGGCGATGCATGCTCACGCACAGTAGTTATAGTTCTGCTCTGTCTGGACCGTGACGTAATCCATGGATCACATCATCACCAAGCGCACCATGGAGAGCGAGTGCAACAATGCCGATGGGCAGCCGCCACCGCCGCTGCTCGACTCACCGCTGCCCACGCCTCGCCGGTTGTGCACCTCTATCGACGCGCTACGAATGTGCTGTCGCCGCGACGCGTCGCCGCTACGGACGCAGGTGTCGTTCTCCTGGGATAGCTCCCCGGGCGTGCCCAAGAAGAGCGCGTGCAAGAAGGCGCAGGCGATGTCGCCGCCGCCGCCCGAGCGCCTACTACAGCCGTACCTCGCCAGGAACTTGTACTACGGCAACACGAGCGTGTTAGTGTTGATCTCTCTAACTCGGCCCAACGGCCGAGCCGGGCCTTGACCTCACGCCCTGATCAGGGGCGCCCAACCCTACATGGTTGGTGAGCCCCGTCGCAGTGCGTTATATAAAGAGGTGGGGGCCAGCGGCTCGCAATACGCAATTCACCGTGAGCCGCCACACCCACCAACAAAACCTAACCCTATCTAGTGAAGGGCGCAACCAGCGACGGGAAGCACCATCACCGGGACGCCGTCGCCGTTGGACCACTTCACCGCTACACCACACTGGAGCGCCATGTCTTCACCGTCCTCTCTACCGACGCGATGGACGGTTCCAACTCCACCAAGCCCTCCAATGATCGGTACCTCCGCTCCTCTCTTCCTCTTGGATATCATCGTCCATGTTTTAGGGTATGTTTATCCTATTCTAGTCAAGTCAGCACCCCTAAATCTACATCTAATGATCCTGTAATTTTAACAGAGCGAGGCGAACAGCGACGACGACGACGACAACAGGTCCTTCTCCGACGCGCTGGACAGGAACTCCTCGCCGGAGCGGACCGGCTCGTTCGACCGGGTCACGTCGAAGTGCTTCGAGGACATCTTCGTCGGCCGCACCACGAGCTTCGCCAAGGACCGGACCCGACACCTTGGCGCGGAGGCCACCGACTTGTCGGCCTTGGGCAGGCGTCCGAGACAACCGCGTCGGGGCAGCACGCGCCGCAGTCACGACGAGGACCATGACCGTCGGTGGACGCCTAGGCTCCTCAACGACAACGTCCCCATGCAACTGATGCGGCGGATCAAAATGGATGCGGACGCCGAGGAGATGACCCCAAGAGCCTGTGGCCTCATGGTGTTCTTCCCCTGGAGCGCAAAGCCAGCGGTCTGCGATTTCAGGAGCCCGGTGGCGCAGCACGCGACGACGACGACGACTCCTCGCGCCAGAGCCGAGCTGCCTTCACCTTCGCACAGTCGCACCACCACCCTACGCGATGTCATCAAGGAAGATAGCCAAGCCGTTAGCAGCGACATGCAGCAGCCGCGTGGAGAAAAGAGGGGCCGCGACCGCGACGACTTGCCGAGCCGTCGATGGGGCGTGTCGTCGTTGCTTGACACGAGCAAGAAGTACTGCACTGACGCACGGAAGGCTCTGAGCAAGCTCTCCATCGGACTAGGAGCGGACGGCGGCAGCCCCAGGGTTAGCGGCGAGAACAGGAGCGGCAAGCTGCACGGTGGTTTCTCATCAACGCCGGCGACGCCTGTAAAGCTGACGCAGCTGAAGGCTAACAGAAACTGAGGTGGCTTGAGTGAAGAAATTCTCGGCACATATAGGTATGCACATTCTATGATCTGATGTCCTGATAGATAGAATAAATAAAGAGTATACAATAAATAAAGAGTATACTGTATATTTATTTTGTGACGTCTGGTGGTTAATCCTATTACTGTTGGGGTAATGTGCAAAAACTGTCATTTTAGACTGTTATTAGTTATTATCCGATCATAAAAAATGTAAGGGGATACATCGTTTCTTCCTCTCTTGTACAGTACATGACCATTGATATCATATCAAGGTGATGGGCCAGAACAACTAGTTTTTGGCAAAACCGCCCTTCTTACGGTGAAATCTATATTTATATCTCTAATCAATATTAAAGTATGAAAATTCTTTTTCTCATCTTTTATTCCATTACTTATATCCTCGCTTTCACGGTTGTCCTTCACTCCCATCTATTTTCTTCTGTCCCATGGTTCGTCATTCCTCACTTAGTTTGAAGTTGCAAAAACTTCATTAGCATCGCACCGCTAGTGTTGTGACCTGGTTAACTGAACCTGAGCCCATGTGCCTCGCGCCTTGCCATGTGTGTGGCTAGACTTCCACATTTTTTTAATAACCTCATAAAAGATGTAGACAATATCCACTTATTTAAGCCGAGTCAATCTTTCATATAAAATTAATCCTTTAATGCAGTTAACATTTATTATAGGTTTTACTAGGATCTATTTAAAATAAGGTTGGACCAAGCTCAATTAAATACAACAGGATAGCTATATAGTTATGAGCTTTAGGACCATAAACATGACGTGTATCCCATTGCAACGCGTGAGTAGGATGAGATATTTTTGTCACGCTCAATGAACGACATCTCCTGGTTTCCACCCAAGTAATGAAGTTGCTTATCATCATGAAAAACCCACTACCATAGTGAAATCGAACAGCGACATAATCTAATGGCTACATCCTTACATTACCATAAAAGGAGATATGCTTAAGATTTGGTCTCTAAGGATGCAAATAGCTACAGTTAGATCAATACAAGCATAAGAAGAGAGAAGCATACGTGTATACTCGATCTACTTCACCTTTCCTGTTTCAACTGTCCACTTTCAAGCTGAAAGGGCCGGAAATGACGACCAGATGGGGGTGTGAATAGGAGCCTCAAATTTCTTTCGAAATATTTAGCCACTGTTCCAAAAATCACCTCCAATGAGTAAATTCCTGAATCAAAAATACCCAAGCCATCCAGTGACAAAAGTGTCTAGATAAGGTCTAGAGAAAGGTAGAAATACAACGCAAAAGACAGAACCTGAATCGCGAGGAACAAATCAAAACAGCAAACATAGCACAATGGCAGACTATCTGCGGACCAAGCCCGAACTGTCTGCTATAGCAGTCCCGGGAAAAAGACCGAGAGGAAAAGTTTCTGGATTCGACCAAAATAGGCGTCGCGGACTGTCCGGGACTCAAGTTCGGACTGTCTGCAGAACTGCTACGCTCGGTGCCTGATGAACAGAAAGAGAACGAAGCGAGGGCGGCGGGGCTGCTCACCGCGATCGATAGAGAGGGAGAAAGTGAGAACGGAGAAAGCGAACGGGAACGAGCACCTGCCTGAGCCTGGTGAGCACGGCGCTGATGCGCTTGTTGCTGAAAGTGCTCGGCACCAGCTGCTCGGCCTCAACACTCGCACTCGAAGAACAGAGAAACGAACGGCAACGGAAACGGAACAAGCTGCTGACGGACGGGGCTGCAAGGTCGAGAAGCAAGCACTGCTCAGCGAGCACGCTCGGTGCTTGAGCACCAGCGTTGGTAGCGCTGCTGCCTTGTTCCACCCATGAGCACCTCGCAGAGACAAGCAGCGAGCACTGCTACTCACGAAAAGGAAAGAAGGCACCCACAAGATCGAATGGATCTCTCTCGATTCAAAAGCTCTTGAGCTCAGATTTTGCACCGATGCAATTCAACTAGCAATGAACCAATTCCCAAAAAATCATCACCTGGGATTGACCTAAACTCCGGGAAATCGAGATCAAAGCTAAGCACGAAAATGGAGAAAAACTCGACAACACAGTGACGAAAATCACACACAAAATAACGGAATCCCGGAGGATTCGGGCCTCCTTTCCTGCTCCAAAACCATAAGTTTGTTACGCAAATTTAGAATTTGTAGACCTCTCTCAAGAAAATCTAAGCGAAGGGAAAAACCTATAGAAGGATGAAGTAAATGAGAGAGGCGAGGAAGATGCTGTCTCATCCTATGTAACAGAGCTATTACACAGTTCTAGTTTTGCTCTTAGATATTTTTGAGTCGAACCGCTTAATCCAAGGATACTATGGTCCAACCCGAGGTAATCTTCATCCGACGGCTACCGTGCCCTTAATAAGATAGCTTCGCCTCGACGTGAATTCTTCGATGCCGTCACGTGCCGTTCGTTCCTCCTCGGAACCTCCGCTGGGTTTTAAGGCCCAAAGCCGAAAACCATTCATCCGGTGATTTTGAGGCTCAACCCACCAAACCGTCTGCGAGTAGCGTACTCCATACATGTCCTTTGCAACTCGACGCGTGTCACCGCTGTCCTCGCCCGACCGACCGCCAAGTCTTCCTGAGCCCTGCTTGACTCTCGACCGCCGTCATGACTCGGTCAACACGGTCACTCCCATGTACACTTGCTTTGTCAATGTCCCCAAATTTCATCAACCGTGGCTAGCCACCCGGCCTTCTAGTCCCTCGGTCCAAGCCTCACGTCCGTTCTTCACCATTCTCGGTCCATCGACAAGGCACGTCCCTACTTGACCTTCACCTTACCGTCGACCACCGTCTCCGAGCTTCACACCTGCGCACCACAAGCCAAGAGACATGTTGCACAACACAACTCACGTCATAGTTAGCTCACCGACTCAACCTAAGATGCAAGTCACGTTGACAATTACTCGTCACCAATCCGAACCACAAGGGCACATATCAACCTTGTGTTCGCAATCTCCCCCTAGATAAGTGCATTGTCAACACCAACAAATGACAGCAGAGAAAAAGCACAAAAGAAGAATAAGAGAAAACAAAGAGCTCACCCAAATGACCAAAAGCCAAAAAAAAGCCAAAATCGGGTCATTTGAAATGAACAAAACTTTGTCTCCAAAGACATGGGCAACGGCTCAACACAACCAAGTAAATCCTAGCTAGCCCTCAAGAAGAGACAATGGGCTCAACACCACTAGCAAAGCTCAAAACGCCTGAAAACACCTGAAAACTACTAGACCCTCCAAAAGAGAAAAATGCTCAACACATCTAGCAAAAGTAACTCAAGGTGCAACTCCCCCCGAACAAATGCAATCTCCCAAATGAATGCATGCACTCAACAAGCTCTCATAGGACAATTTTCAAAACTCTTCCCCTTTTGACACATGCACTTATCAAACACCGAAAAACTGTTACTCCCCCTCAAAATATGCTATGAATGCAAGGGATATAGAAATGCAAACGCTCGAGGAGTATAGCAATCAGATTGAAAAGATGCTTTAACTAGTGCTGTTATGTGTGTGTAGCAACAAGTACAAGTGCTAGCAAATGCTCAACGGATCAAGTGAAACAAAATATGGCATTTTAAGCAATTTTGACCAATTTTAAGCAATTCAAGAAGGGGTTCACCACTGAAATTAGCACATAGCAAGTATAAGCAGGAAATCAACCTAGTGCTAACAAGTGTATACAAGGTGAACTACCCCAAGCAGCGGTCACACATCAGGTCAAAGACGAACCGAAGACTTGTGCCTTCATCAAATTTTAAATTTTATCAGAGTTTGCAGCTTAACACAAGACTTAGTTAAAACATATGTGTGCAAGAGGTTATCTGTACCGTCATGCCTAACTTAGCAACCATGCCAAGCCTATGTCATAGACAATCAGAAGCTTAAGACAATGGTTTCGGCATCCGCTACAAGGCTCAAGTTCATTGAAATGTGCAATTGGAAGTCGTCTCAATTCCTTGACGTAGGACAGGATAGACCCATCTCGATCTTTTCTCATCGTTTAGCTTGTTTTCCAAATTTTAGCACAAGAATCTCCAAGACGTTCAAGCAAGTGAGTAACTTAAAGCATAAGACGTAGCAACCTAGCATATAAGTGAGCATCAGGGATCTCAATAAGTCCTACACATGCTAGTAACCATCTCAGGGTGAACTAATTTCAAGTTTTAATAGTTGTTAATCATGTTCACAATTTAAAAATAGCTTAGCTCATAACATACATCAATTGATCAAAAAGAGCCTAAGCCACAAGCACCATAAGTACATACAGAACATCCCAAATAGAGCATAGTTTTAATCTAACAGTTATAACCATAAAGCTCAAAATGCTCTAATATAGAACATGTAATGCAATGCAATATGATGTCAGCTAAGTCTTCCTGAGCCCCGCTCGACCGCCGTCTTGACTCGGTCAACACGGTCACTTCCATGTACACTTGCGCTTGTCGATGTCCCCAGATGTCAGCCACCGCGGCTAGCCACCCGGCCTCCTGGTCGCTCGGTTCAAGCCTCACGTCCGTCCTTCACCGCTCCCGGTCCATCGGCATGGCACGTTCCTACTTGACCTTCACCTCGCCGTCAACCACCGCCTCCGAGCTCCACACCTACGCACCACAAGCCAAGAGACATGTTGCACAACCCAACTCATGCCATGGTTAGCTCACCAACTCAACCCAAGACGTAAGTCACGTTGACAATCACTCATCACCAATCCAAACCACAAGGGCACATATCAACCTTGCGTTCGCACAAGCCATAGGAGCATGTTGCGGCGGCGGAAGAGAACAAGATTTGACCGCCTATGGAAAAACAACTTGCGGCGGAGGGGGGATGCAAATGGGGTAGGGGCAGCTAGGATTCACAATGGCAGGGAGGGGAAAGCGACGTGAGAGAAAAGAGGTGGCATGTTTTGATCCAAACGATGTGGAGTCACCGATTGTCGTGCTTAGCTGCTCATGGTGAACGGTTTGAAAAGATTGGCGGCACAATTCTAT